CTGTCCGGCCGCCGTCTGTCCGGCCGCCGTCTGTCCGGCCCCGCACGCAGCGCAACAGAGGGCGCTCCCGGCAAACAAGTCCCGCGGGAGGCCAGGCCGGGCCAGGCCCAGCCGGCCCAGTGCCGGGAGGGCTGCCCCGGTGCTTTCCCTCTCCCTGCTCCCATCTGGGACTATCCCTCCACAGCCCAGCCCGGTCCGGCTTCCCCGGCGAGCGGAGCCCGCCAGAGCCGGCACCGCGGGAGGGAGGGGATGCCCACACCTGCCCCAGCCCCGGCGAGCAGGGATGCATTTGGCGTTACCTGGGTTTTTAATGACACTTTTCTCCTTCGGAAACCCAGCGCTGCAGAAGTGCAACTTTCTGCTTGAGGTACCCCGTCCCGTTGGGCACCGGCGCCTCACCCCAGCGAGCGGGCGCTTGCCGCGCGCTCCTTGGGCGTTCTCGGAAATGAGCAACCCCCGGCGGAGTCCCCAACACTTCCAGTGCTTTGTTACGGCTCTTGCCAAGTGCGAAATGTTGCTGTTGTCGTCATGGCGACGACTACATCTCATCTCGGTTTTAATTAAAACCTGTGGAAGTTTAGAGCCCGTGCTCCAGTCTCACAGGGCGCGCAGAGTAGCCAGATGCTCGCGGTCAAGATGACATTTTTTTTAGTTCTTCGGAAGTAAGACTGTTTTTTCACAGGGAGGTTTCCCACAAAGCTGCTCAGCGACCAGGATGCCCCATCTCGCGCTGGGCTAATGCTGCTGTAACGCTGCCATCCCGAGCCGATTCACAGAGTCCGTCGGTAGGCAAGGCTTGAGTGTAAATCAAAAGTAAATCAAACCTAGCATGCCTGGCGCCTGTTGTTAAGGTAGAGGCTGCAAGAAAGCAGAGTTTCTGCTGCAACCATTCCCTCAACAAGAAATAGTTCCCCAAAAATACTCTTCCCAAATTCAGACTCTCAAAACCAGCTCTGGGCTAGGAAAAGTGCAATCATCAGCTACCCAGACATCGCAGGTGGAACCAGGCACAGACTGCCACCATCGCCTCCGCCACAGCTGGAACCCGGTGGATCACCTATGCAGATCCCTGGGCTTTGATCGATGCAGCAGGCCCCGCCTGCCCAGCTCCAGGCGGGATGCGGGACGTGTCCCGTCCAGCCTGCCGCAGGCACTTTCATCCCTGCCCACAGCCCCAGGCCTCTCTGCTGCGCCCAGCTCCTTCCCTTCGCCTGCTCCTTAGCCTCAGTCCTTGCCCAGAGGTCCCCTGGGGAAAGGCTTAGCCCTCCCCTTAGCTTGCCTGCGCAGATACCCTGCTCTCCCTAACCCAGGAGATGAAAATATAAAGCTCAGTCCACGGCCCGGATGCACAAAGGGTCTCTGAAGGAGGGAAAAATGCAAGAGAGAGGTAGGGAGAGGAGAGGAGAAGACGCAAAGGCCAGGCGGAGTTTCCCTAGGACTCCTCTGACCTTCTGAGGACACGTGCTCTGCAGTGCCGCTGAAGTTAAGGTGCTGAATAAATGGCTATTACGAGTAGGTCTTCATGCCTGGGGTCAGAATATCCTCTACAGAACAAAACTTTGCCATAACTCTACGCCCAGCTCAGCAGTAAAGCTGGATGCCCTTTGAGCGTTCGCTACCTGAGCGTATCGTTCTGCGGCTTCTCTGATAACGCAGAGGCTGAGACCAAAGAAATAGGTCCTTCTCAGTTTGTATGCAACCAAAGCAGCATCAACCAGCTCTAAAGAGTTAAATGTTCTTTTGCATTACAAGGAAGTGCAGTTTCTTTCTCTTAAGTTTCCAAGTTCACTGAGATAGAGTACTTCAGTGGGGTGTTTTCTTTTGATTTGAAGCTGGCCAAATGCAAGTCATTGTAAACTGGCTGGGGATAAGCCTTGCTCCTGGGGGAGCTGCTGACACGTGCCGTCTGCAGTCTCCATCTACAGCTTCTGCTGTGGGGAAAGGCAAGTGTCAGCCGCCCACACCGTGCTGTCAGGGGCCCACGTCCCTCCCCCGTGGGAGACGGGATCTGGGAAGCCTGGAAAGAGCGAAGCTTTAGTTTTTGAAGGTAAGATCTTTATATCTCTTCAATTCCCACGGTAATCACTAAGCTTTTCTCAGCTTTGTGACATGAGAGGCAACAGCAACAACGTGAACGATCAGGAAACCAAAACAGGATTTTGGTCCTAACCCATCCATCGAAAAGCCGCCTAGGACGCGTAATGCCACCAGCTAGTGCAGCACCCTTAGCCTTCTCCACTTGGCCGCAGAACGTGTACCACCGCAGGGTGGAAATAGCACAGGCAAGGTTAAACAGCTTCTTTAAGAAGTCATCCCATGAGCTGATGCTAAAGAACGTGCCAAGGTTTCCCAGCACACCAATACCTTTGTCTTTCTACTTAGGAGATTTTAGGGAATAGCTACCAGAAAACCATGAAGTTCGGAGTCCTATTTCCAACAATATTTTTTATCAAATACTTCAGAAGGTAAAGATCCCTGTGAAAGGTTTAACACCATAAAATGCCCCAAGAAAGAAGTTTGTGCCTTGCAGCCTAACACGTGGAGGTCAGCTGGCAGCTAGGAGGACAGCAGCAGCTCCTGGCTGGGGTGCTGTAGGTGAGGCCATACAACTTAAATATCAACCACCTTTTATTTGTTGGTGGTTCATCTGTTGGTACCATGCCGTATCCCAGAGGGAACGCAGTGAGAGCTTCCCCCGGTGTGGAATAGACTTTTGAACCATGTGGAAAAAAAAGCAGCTTGTGAAATTCAGCCTGTTCCTATTCCCTCTTACCTGAGAGGTGAAGCATGGCCAGACCCTCTTCAAGAGCTCGCTGGGTACAAATGCTGTCGCTTCCGTAGTAGGTCCTGAAAACACACAATTCCTGGACTCTGCTGAGGTTTTTTTGCCTCAGTACTTGAAGCGATGAGTTCCACAGATGAAAGATCCGTCCAGTCTGAGCTCCCCTCCTCATCCCCTAGTCTTGGGACAGTTTTGTTCATGGGACTGATAGGAGCATCCATTTCTCTCTTGCCCATCACTGTACTCTTTCCAGCTCCAGCAATTCCAAGTTTAGCACTTGCAGGTTCAGAGG